AAAGTGTGTCTCGAAGAAATTCCTGCCTCATGGAATATAAGTGCAGCCAAAATACAGGCTGTTGTGCGACATAATGGGAAGAACATTGCAAAGGCTATCGATGAATCGATTTTCAAAGCAGTTTCATGTTTTATTCATATTATGCAATTGGCAATCCACGACCCACTTAAAATTGACTATATAGGACAGCTTCTTCAAAAATCGAGGCATATCGTTACTCATTTCAATCATTCAGCACCAGCTCAAGAAAAACTAAGTGCTATTCAAAAAGAACTTAATATACCTTCTCTTCTTCTTGTTCAAGATGTTTCCACAAGGTGGAACTCTTCTTATTACATGATGTTTCGCCTCTTAGAGCAAAAACGATCCGTTTCTTTGTACGTGACAGAAAATACAGTTAATTTTGAGAATTTATCGACCGAGGAGTGGAACTTACTCGAAAAATGCATTACGCTACTAAAACCGTTTGAAGAGGTGACGAAGATAATTATTAGTTTCAGTTGCTCCTCGATACCTGAAATTATTCCTCACCTAAAAATATTGTAAAAATATCTGGAAAACTATACAGACGAAGACGGAAATGAGCAATTAATGGAAATGAAAACTGTATTGCAAAAGAGCTTGAAAACTAGATTTAGAAATTTGGAACAGAATAAATTATTTTCACTTGCAACTTTGCTCGATCCAAGGTACCTACAATCTACAATTTTTGATAATGAAAATATAGTATCAGTAAGATCACAGTTTTTCGGGAAGCCTTAAAGAACAGTATGACTGATGATGATGAGAGCAACCTAAATAACGAGGAGAGCAATACCCAAAATCCTAACTCCTAGCTCATCGCAACTTTTGGGAGTTTACCAAGAAATGGTTACGCGAAAAGTGCACAATATTGACAACGAAACATCTAGTTCAGCTCTCGAACTTCATTCTTACTGCACATTGCTAGTCTTAAAGCGAACTGAAGATCCATTTAAGTGGTGGCATAATAACAGTTCTAGATATCCTGAAATGGCTCGTATAGCTAAAGTATATCTATGTTGTCCCGCCAGCACAGTTTATAGCGAGCGTCTCTTTTCGGAAGCTGGCAATGTATATGAGACAAAAAGGAACTGCTTACTTCCAGATCGCGCCGAAACATTGACATTTTTGCATCAGAAATTGCCACTAGTTAAAGAAAAGATATTTAAGTACTTTTTAAGCATTCATTAGCACTAAACATCTTGTTGCCAATTTATTATATTGTACAATGATTCCATCACACAATTTTTTATATTTTATTATTCTTAATAAAGACTAACTAAATTCAAAGTAATACTATGGCTCTATAATACCTTGAAAATGTTATTAAGGTACCTATATTATTTTGTTTTATTTGTTATGTATGTGTCATTGATTGATGATACTTAATTTCTGACTGATTCTTAAATTCCTTATTATATGGTAACAGATAAATCTATACAAATAAATAAAAGTGAAGTGTCTGTTTGTAATGTTAAAATTACGGCTTTTTACTAATTGTATATGAAAGTATATACGGTACTTATAACAAAAACACAATTTTTGAAATTTTTGTCTGTCTGTCTGTCTGTCTGTTTGTTCCGGCTAATCTCCGAAACGGCTGGACCGATTTTGACGGAACTTTCACTGGCAGGTAGCTGATTTCATAAGGAGTAACTTAGGCTACTTTTATTTTAGAAAAATAATTAGGGTTCCGCGCAAAAACATAAAAACCTTAACACGCGGGCGAAGTCGCGGGGAACAGCTAGTAATTAATATAATAAAGCGCAGCTACGTAATTATCATGAAAACAGCTAGCAGCTAGCACCGCAGATTAATGAAAAAGTATAATAAAAAAAACAATTATTAGGAATAAATGTTGGTTTAATTTTTTTGCTAACCACCGATTATAATCGGCATATTTTGCCGATTAGTCGCCGACTAGTCACCGACTGTAAAAGATGCCGAATAGTCGGCTATCCCGACTAGTCGGCGACTAGTCAGCCCATCTCTAATAATAATCGGTCCAACCGTTTAGGAGGAGTTCAGTCACATACACACGGACAGAAATTTTTTATATATAAAGATAGATTGCACGAATAAACATCGACCATCAGGAACACACAGCATACCCTATCTTTTGTTAGAATTATAAGTAGTAGGTAAGAACGTGAACATAATTCTACATAGCCACCAAACTAAATAATCAGACACGTCTTCACCTTGACCCAGTTAAGGGCTTCTAATAAGCGATACCTACCAACATTTATTTACTGTATGCATAACGAGGTCTTCCGGAAATATTGGAATTTCCTTCTGTAATCAGATCTGTTTTCCTCCTCAGACACCTCTCATGCATAGATAATGTCATGACATTTTAGATCTACAATAGGCTGTATGCATATTCTAATTTCCGTAGTCATCATCTACAGACTATTTTAGTCCACACATCACATAGCTTATTACAACATGTTATGCTTCATTTTGAAATAAAATTATATATATTTTGTTTTAGTATATATATTTTTAGATTATATTTATACTCGTATATGTACATTGCGTCGCATAATCATAGCGTCGAATTTAGGGAATATGTAAAAAAATATTCAAAAATATTTAAAAGAGTGTGCTCCATAGCCAAGTCTTTGCATTTGAGCAACTAAATTAGGACGGCTTCCAATAAAATTAAAATGACATGGAGTATAGTTAATAGCGAAACTGATAAATACACTTTCTAATAATAAACCTAATGTAAGCTGTGTTCCCCCAAATCTTAAAACGGATAACGGCCTAGTCATTAAAGATCCTGTAGCTGTTTGTGAGTTATTCAATAAGTTTTTCTCAAATATTGGTACGCAACTTGCAAACAAAATACCGTCCCATTATCATAACAATGAAACACACACATTGCCAAAACTAAAATCTGATACAATCCAATTCAAATTGTCAGTCTTCAAACAATGTGATAAAAATGAGATAGCTAATATTGTCGATGGTCTGGAAACTAACACTAGCACAGGGATTGACTCCATTAGTACAAAATCAATAAAGTGTGTAAAAAATCTAATTATTCCCAATCTCACTGGCTGTCTTAATAAATTACTGGTACAAGGTATATTCCCAGATAGTCTTAAAGTAGCTAAGGTCAATCCGATCTATAAATCTGGTATAAAGACGGATCCAGGAAACTATCAGCCTGTGTCAGTTTTGCCAGTGGTTTCAAAAATCCTGGAGAAAGTAATTTACAAACGACTGAATGACCACTTAACTGAAATAAATTTTTTGTGTGATCAACAATATGGCTTCCCTATGTAATAATATGGAAACCCGTACCGTCCGATAAAGGTCTTCGTTCCAATAGTTTCATATGCCATAAAAATCTAAATAAGATCACGTCTTCAAAGTTTTATGGACCTTGATTGGTTCAAATTGAAAATAGGATAAAATTTCCTTTTATGGAAGGCATTAAACACTCGGGAGCAAAGATGTTTTATAGGTCCAGATACCGTGTTGCTAACATACCGCAACGTTCATAGTGAAGACAGTCTTTGATTCATGTGTGCATGAGTACCACGTGACGCGCATATCTTACGCACCATGGCTGCATTAATGTGCGTGACTTCGGTAATAACAGTGCGAATCGATTACCCAAAAAATGTGGGAGATTTTATATTTCATTCCTATTGACGTACCTATTGATTCTAAGAGTATAAAATGTGTGTGCGTGGCGTGTGCATTTGTGTGTGTGTGTGTGTGTGTGTGTGTGTGTGTGTGTGTGTATGGGGATATGGTTGCTTATGTGTGTTTTATGTAGGTACGAACATCGCACTAAAATATTGAAGATATGTAATAAAACCTATAATTAATGTAACAGTTAAAATAAATAAAAAAGCACAGTAGATATTTATGTATGTAACATATATTTATAATCTATTATTACTAAATATATACAGAGTACTACACTGTTGTACTGTAGAACACAAAATATTGCCGCTTTTTACGAAGACATTAAATTATTTTTCAATTCTAAGCAAAATGACGAAAAAAGTAAGTTTGGTTAAGCGTAAACTTGAGCCAAGAGAGAGCAAAATGTTTAATTTTTTTAAATTGCTCCGTTCCGTTGCTGCGTGAAGGAAGGACAAAAACAAATAAACAAAAAAATCACACGTTCACATTTATAATATTATATTAGTATGGATTGTCAAGAATGATAGATAAGCTTTTGCAACCGGTTTACAATCGGCTTTTTGAGGGTGGAACTATACCGGTTACTACTATTACGGTTCTTAGTGACCAAAAAGGATAGAAGCACAGGAAAGTGCAATTTCATGCTGCCAGATGTAGTTCAACCCTAACCCTTAAAACGGTTTAACTCTATAGGTTGGATAAAATCTGTAAAATTAGACTGTTTAAAACCCCTATACAGATAACCTTTGTAGTTGATCTTGACATTAAAAAATGGTAAAAACATTTCATAGACTAGGCAACACTCGAATATTATTGCGCAGTATTATTACTTGTATTGACATTTAACTTTCGTATTCTTTTACAAAGAAATACACCATAAAATTATATAGTTACTTATGAAAAGTGATGTTCTTATCCTTAACTTTTTTCCAAGAGTAATTTTTAAATGATTTCACAGCACAAACAGTCATTTTGCGAAATTAAAAACACCGGTGCGTGACGTATGTTCACAGCGAACGTCGCTGGCGTAATGGCGGAACGATCGAACGAATACGCCAATATTGGCGCCTTTGAAATGGAAGCGTTTTAGGCGCGCGTACACGGTATCTGGACCTATAAAACATCTTTGCTCGGGAGAAACTTCCTTTGCCATCACGGTGCCAACACTTAAACCAAGCATATAGCCGTATTATCGTAGAATTAATTATAGATTAACTTATTAGTAGCAATAAAGATAAAAAATTATTACTTACAATTATCTGGAATTAAAATTAAAAGGAGCCGATTAACGAAATTGAAAATAGTAGTAAAAAATGGCGCGGTCGGTTCTGTGTCTACTTTTGCTTGCGGCCGCCCATGTCCAAGGTCGCCATGAAAAATATGAAGGGTAAGAATAACTTTATCATCGATTTCTTATTAAGTAGCTTTATGCAATTAAATTTTAAGTTTTAACGGCGTTTTTCTTTCGATAACGCCTGAAGTGTATAAATATTATGGGAAAAATATATACAAAATAAATACCTACAAAATTCGATTCTAAACTATAACTACATTATTGTAATAATACTGTAGCATTTCAACATTGAAGATATTCTGTGCATGTCCATCCATCACTAATAAAAAACTGGTGATCGATGTGTGCAGCAGAACCCTACCTTACGCATATCATACACGCATCTATGGGCGCGGCGTTATTTGTTTTACGTAAGTATTTTATTCTAATAATCTTAGATATTTTATTAATGACACTAATCTTACATTCTATATGTGATTACGTTATTTGTACAAATTTAACCAGAAAATGTATCTAACTGAAATACTAAGTAATTTTAAACCGACAATTAAGCATTAGTATGTAAACGTTTGATCATTTTAAAACCTTTGGTTTATTGATTTTTTTTATAGGATAGGGTGACAAGCGAGCACACAGTCCACCTGATGGTAAGTGGTTGCTGTGGCCCATAGACATTTACATTTATCCTCGTTTGCGAATCAAAATATAGATGCGTTGTCACCCGTGAGGACTAGGATGGAATGCCTCATTTCCAGTAAAAAGGGCCTCCGGCCACCTGAACTCACCAAGCGAAACGCAGAGGTAAACCTCTACTTCACGCTGGTATTCTGTGAGGTCGTGGTACCACCCCGGTTCGAGCCGGCCCATCCGTGCGACAGCAAAAGCTGCCGCGTGGCTCTACCACTGTTAAAATTGATTGTTAATTGTAAAAAATTAATGATAATCGCAAAGCGTTTTTTATAAACATAAATGCAAACTTTATTTGTATAACATTGTTCTATCATCATCATCATCAATACAGCCTTTCACAAGTCCACTGCTGAACATAGGCCTCCCCAAGGAATGCCACAAAGCACAGTCCTGAGCCACCTTGTATCCATCGACTTCCTGCATCTCTTACCAGGTCGTCACTCCATCTAGTGGAGGGTCGCCCTACACTTTGCCTACCAGTACGAGGCTGCCACTCGAGAACCTTTTTTCCAGATCGGTTGTCGGTTCTTCGAGCTATATGACCAGCCCATTGCCACTTCAGCTTACTAATCCCTTGGGCTATGTTATTTGTTGTTGTTCTATAAAGAAGATTAATTATAAGTTAAAATACGTTTATTAATGCTCATGTTTGCAATAACACTCTACAATACTACATGCGTAAAGAAACAATACCTCCTTTTCCTTATCTTATTACTTGTAAATAGCCACCAAACTAAATAATAAGTCACGTCTTCGCCTTGGCACTGCAAAGGGCTTCTAATAAGCTATACTAACGTTGTTTACTATGTGCGTAGCGAGATTTTCCCGAATTAATGTCCCTCTATTTATCAGTTTACTTCCATTTTCCTCCTCATACCTAAATACCTTAATGTAATATAATAATATAATATAAAATACCAATTTAGAACTTTATATATTCCCTGATCCTTTTACATTCTTTAAACGTAATATGTCCAAAGTATTGTTACTTAACTAAAATTATATGCTTCTTTATATTTTATAACCCAACTTGTATTTTCGGTCATGGAGGCCACTCTCCACGGAGACTAGCCAACTAGAAAAGTTTATAATGCACGAGTGTATGCGCAACCACAGGTGCACTCTCTATTCCCTCACTTTCATAGTCCGATGAGATGAGACGGCATTTCGACACGGCCGAAGAGATGGCGCATAACCAACGGATTTACGTGCTTTCGAGATACGGGGGTTAAACACCGTCAAATTCTTGACTCCGGACTCCTACTGTGATTGCTATATAATACCTGCTTCTACAAGCATTTCTTCATACTGAGAAACTTTAAAAGAGAGAGATATTCCTTCCCCAAAGGCAGGCACCTGTTAGATTTCTCAAATGTAACAGGTGTTTATTTGCCACCAGGAGAATCAAATGCTCGCTTGCCCTCTGGTATAAAAAAAATTGCTGGTATAGTTTTCCCCATTTGGAAAGACTTTTACTATCGTCAAGCTTGGTGGCTCGTTTGGCGATCGCAATACCAGACATCTCGTACCTTTAACACTGCTATACGACGCTGGTCTGATTTTTTACACTGCCATCTATGAGATGTTAAAAGATCATTCTGGCTTTTACTACGTGGGGCACACTAAAATGATCGGGATTAAGAAAAACCACATACACGGTATAGCTAAATTGTATTTTGTTGTTTTTCGAAGTATTCTCCGTTCAACTTAATGCACTTTTCTATTCGTGCAAACCAATCATTAAAACAGTAATTCCAGTCTGAAGTTGATGTTGACAAAATGGCTGATTTGTACGCTTCCACAGCTGCTTCGGGGTCTTCAAACCGTTGACCGCGTAATAAATCTTTCATTCTAGGGAATGTAAAGAAATCGTTTGGGTTCAAAGGGCAAAACTGTATGGAGGAGTCGTATCTTATGACAATCATAGGGACGATACGAGATAATGGATTTTCTTACGCCTCCACCACACGCCAAGAAACTCATACTTTATTGAGTCACAATGACATGAATATGGTCATGGCATAATTTATTTATAAACCTTGTTGAGAATTAAAGTCCGAATAAAGTTAAATTAGCAAATTATTTATCAAAAAGCAAAATTATCATATAATATTCACATCATGCGCCGAGTGAAATCTCCACATACAGTACAGAACCAGGATGACGCTGAAAGTTTTAGAGCAGGCCAAGGTAACAACGAAAAGATAATTTATTTTTGAATTTAAAACTTTTTGGTAACCTTACTAGGTCATACTCAGAGCATCTTAAGTTCTTAAGGACTACATTACCAAAACAAATTACCTTCATGATTTATTATGACTTTCATTGGGGTCGTGATCAACAAGGTTATGATAGTTTAAATTTCACTGTTGATATGCTGAGTTGATATCAAACAACATAAAGATTAAAACTTTGGGGTAGCCGAAATTTGTTTAACCGAAATATTATGTTATGCATTGAATATAAAAAATTTAAAATTCAGATTTCTTATGTGTACGCGAACACTACACATTTAAATAAAATTATTTTTTACAGATTTTATCGCGTACATTAACTTATTTTACATACCCAACGCTTCGAGCAATTTACAGCACCCACCTGTATTATCTATGGCACTCATGGCCTCGGGGGAACTGAGGTGTTCGATGTCCCAATGTCATATAGTTACCGACGGCTACCTTCAGTTTAAAATTTTTAATCTTTGATCCAATATGCGTAGTAAGGACTTATAGTATCTTGAAGTCTTACAGTTCTATGCGTGGGTTGGTAATTTTATTCATATTAGGATTCCAAGCAGATGGTAGTACCCAGCCATTTTCTCTATGGAAATTAGAAAGTTTTTCAATTTCAATGGCCTCGCGAATCATCCTTGGAAGGAATCGGTGATCTTTAGCGAGGATTTGTGTGAAAATCGTTTTTAATTAAATTTAAAATAATATACGTCCAAAAAATAAAATTATATTAATAATATATTGTAGAAGAAAAAATATAGTAGTGATCTGAAGCTAGGACTACGGAACATTAATTAAGTAAACTCAGCATCCAAACTTGGCACAGTGCCAAGACAAGGTCCTTGTTATAATGCTCACGCTGCACATGTAGTTAACACAGTGCTAGACCAAGTTTAACATTAGTTATGAAGGCAAACTGAATATAAATTATACTACACGGTAATACTGCAAAATAATGGCCACTTGCTTAGTCTCACTTTAGCTTCACTTAGTTGATATACTGACTTACGGAAAGGTTAACTGGAGTTCAGAAATTAAATTAATATAACTTGAGTTAAGAAAAAATGTAAAAACTTTGTTAAAACTCAGTTGGCAGTTTTTTACTAAAAAGTCCGACGTAACTTAACAATAACTTTAACTTTAACAAATGATTCGTCTAGGTTAAAATCTTCCTCGTTTTTGGTAAACATGCAATTCTTACAATGTTTTTAAATCGAGAGATTTTCTAATGAAGTCAATGACCACGTAAGGGAACGGTTCTATAACTCTCTTCCACACACATCAACGATCACCTAGATCTCGATATATTTGAGTATAAAGATGACGCAAAAGTCATGTAGAAGTATCTAACAATGCTCGGACAAGTCCAGATGAATTACAGTATTATTAATATATTTTATATTAACTAATTATTCTGGCAAACAATTCGTCGTTGACGCCGCAAAGGGGCGAACCTGAATTTTTCAAAAAATTACAACAGAGCAAGAAAACATTTATTATTCCCCGATTACTAGCTTTTTTTATCAGAAAATTAATCTTATTTGTAGTTTTGCATTAAGTCTAATGTATTTAATTTTCTGATGAAAAAAAGCTAGTAATTCGGGGAATAATAAATGTTTTCTTGCTCTGCTGTAATTTTTTAAAAATTACGAATTATTATTTTCCGAATATTAGACGAATTGCTCAATTTTAAAACCTACGTATTATAGGTTTTAAAATTGAGCCACGTTATACCTTTAAATGGCTCACAGAATATCAACATCAAACAGCAAAGTAATGCTAACGTGTTCCGTGTGGTGAGTGTAGAACACCGGACACCCTTTTTACTGGCACGAGGCATTCCATCTCAGTCCTCAGGGGTGACAACGCATCTGCATTTTGATCGACGATAGATGTAGATGTCTATGGTCCATAGCTTCCGCTTAGCGACAGGTGGACTATGTGCTCCCTTGTCACCCTTCTATAAAAGAAAAACAATGAAACCAATGAAGCTCACACATGTGCTTGATCTTTCTCTTTTGTTTTCGGTAACAGTCTAGGGCAGTCATTTCAGTTTTAAGCTTTTTCAACTTTTCTCTGGTCTCATTGTAAGTATACGAACTATTAAAAAAATTAAATGAAAAAATAACTACTATGATTTCAATTTACTCAGTAAATAAGTAATAATCAATCATGCAGTGGCAGTATAAAAATATCCACTACCCCATTACGAATAGATTAGAATAGAATGATTTTTTATTCAATACTAGCTGTTCATGGATTTTAATTTTTTTGCGCGGAACTCTTATTCTTTTTCTAAAATAGAAGTAGCCTAAGTTACTTCTTATAACATCAGCTATCTGTCAGTGAAAGTCTGGTCAAAATCGGTCCAGCCGTTTCGGAGATTAGCCGGAACAAACAGACAGAAAGACAGACAGACAAAAATTTAAAAAATCGTGTTTTTGTTATAAGTACCGTATATACTTTCATATGGATATAGTAAAAAGCTGTTATTTCGACATTACAAACAGACACTTCAATTTTATTTATTTGTTTAGATAGATCACATGTGTAATTCTTATTGAAATTAATTTTTTACTTTACCACTGGTTCGAAAAAAAAAACCTCTGTCCTGGGAAGAACCAGCTGGAAACCCAGCGAGACTTTTTTTTTAAAAGCAAATTTTACATTAATGGTTGTACAAACTATATAAGTACAAAATTTATTTTAAAAACAGCTTGGAAGCGACTACCTCATTCCCAGGGGCTATTATCAACCATGTATTCATCATTACAGCCTTTCATAAGTCCACTGCTGAACATAGGCCTCCCCCAAGGAATGCCACAAAGCACGGTCCTGAGCCACCTGCATCCATCGACTTCCTGCATGTCTTACCAGGTCGTCACTCAATCTCGTGGGGGGTCGCTCTACACTTCGCCTACCGGTCCGAGGCTGCCACTCAAGAACCTTTCTTCCCCATCGGTTGTCGGTTCTTCGAGCTATATGGCCGGCCCACTGCCACTTCAGCTTACTAATCCGTTGGGCTATGTCGGTCACTCTGGTTCTACTGCGGATATCCTCATTTCTAAGTTTATCGCGTAGAGAAACTGCGAGCATAGCCCTCTCCATAGCTCGCTGAGCGACCTTGAGTTCCTCATACGGCCAGCAGTGAAGGACCACGTCTCAGATCCGTAAGTCACACTGGCAACATGCACTGGTTGTACAATTTCGTTTTAAGGTTTTGAGGTATGTCTGACGAGAAGATGTGTCGTAGTTTCCCGAACGCTGCCCAGCCGAGTTGAATCCGTCGATTGACCTCTCGGTCGAAGTTGGACTTACCTAGTCGGACTATTTGCCCCAGGTAAACATACTCGTCAACAACTTCGAGCTTAGTCCTCCCCACAACTACCGGCATAGGTGTGAGTGTGACCCATGTCACACCTATGCCGGTAACAAAGATTATGTTTAATGTCCATACATTAAACATAATCTTTGTTTTGTCCATGTTCATCTTAAGACCTATCAGTTGGGTGACACTATTGAGGTCATTGAGAATGGTGCTTAGATCCTCCAGCGATTCTGCCATAAAGACTATATCGTCGGCAAATCGAAGGTGAGTGATGTACTCGCCATTAGAATAGAATAGAATAGAATAGAAAATTTTTTATTCAATATACATTACATGTGTAATTCTTATTGAAAGTCATTTTTTACTTTACCATTGGTTCGAAAAAACCTCTGTCCTGGGAAGAACCAGCAAGAAACCCAGCGGGACTTTTTTTTTTATTTATTTGATGTTAATACCGTATCCTTTCCAGTCCAGAAGCTTGAAAACGTCTTCCAATGCAGCGGTGAAGAGTTTCGGGGATACAACGTCACCCTGTCTTACACCTCTCTGCAATTGGATAGGTTTCGTACTCTGGTTCTGTACTCGGATAGCCATCGTAGCCCTACTGTACAAGCACTTCAGCACTTCGATATACCGACAGTCAACTTGGCGTCGCTGAAAGGACTGCAGCACCGCCCAAATTTCGACGGAATCAAAGGCTTTCTCATAGTCCACATACGAAAGGCATAGTGGCAAATTGTACTCCTCAGACTTCTGTACAATTTGCCGAAGGGTATGTATGTGATCTATGGTGCTAAAGCCCTTTCGGAAACCGGTTTGTTCGGGAGGCTGGAAGTCGTCAAGTCTGCGCGCGAGACGATTCATAATGACTCTCGAAAACAGCACGTAGACGCGGCTCAGAAGGGAAATCGGTCTGTAGTTTTTCAAGAGAGCGTTGTCACCTTTCTTGAAGAACAAGACCACCGCACTTCTGCTCCACGCCTGCAGAGTAGTGCCACCATGGAGGACGGATTTAAAGAGCCTCTGAAGGACTTCAAGTACCGGTTTTCCACCCGCTTTCAGAAGCTCCGCTGTAATTCCAGCCTCGCCTGGAGCCTTGCCATATTTAAGATGCTGGAGAGCCATTCTAATCTTGCTCAGACTGACGTCCAGGATATCTTCGGAATAGTGTGGGATAAGACTCGCTCTTGGATCGTTACTCACACTTGCGTGTGGCTCCAACGATGACGTGTACAGCTGTCCATAGAACCTCTCAATCTCACTCAAAATCTCAGGTGCCCCGGAAATGATGCTGCCACACTCGGTCCTCAGCTTTGACAGTTAGCTCTTCTGGCAGACAGACCTCTGGAAAAGACTTTGGAGCCTTGGTTCCGCTCGATCGCTTCTTCAATACAAGCTGTATTGAAGTTGCGTAAGTCCCGCCGCATGCATTTGGAGATCTGTCTGTTCAGTTGCCTGTATGCTGTCAAATCTGTTGAAGAATGTAGCTTCATCTCCCGTCTAATAGCCATGGGATTTAGAGTGTGATCGGAGAGTTTTTGTGTTCTTCTGCGGCGGGTCTTGCAGAACTTAGCTCCGACCGCATGGACAGTTTCCACGAGCTTGTCATTCATATCGTCCACTTCATTGTAGTCTTCTAGGCACTGAAAACGGTTTTGTAACTCGAGCTGAAAGGTTTCAGGACTTTGGAACAGAGCACGAGGGGAACGGAGCGTTGGCTTCATTAGACGAGATCTCTCCAACTTAACGTTTAGGTTCAGTGTGCCTCTAACCATTCGGTGATCGCTACCAGTTTTCACCCTCGCGATCACGGAGACATCACTGAACAGTTGTCGTCTGGTCGTCATAATGAAGTCAATCTTATTTTTTGTCGAACCGTTGGGGCTCGACCAGGTCTTTACTTTGACCAGGTCCTGGTTTTTAACAGTGGTAGAGCCACGCTGCAGCTTTTGCTGTCGCACGGATGGGCCGGCTTGAACCGGGGTAGTACCACGACCTCACAGAAAACCAGCGTGAAGTAGAGGTTTACCTCTGCGTTTCGCTTGGTGAATGCAGGTGGCCGGAGGCCCTTTTTACTGGAAATGAGGCATTCCATCTTAGTCCTCACGGGTGACAACGCATCATTTTGATTTGTAGCAGAGGATAGATGTAGATGTCTATGGGCCGCAGCAACCACTTACCATCAGGTGGACTGTGTGCTCGTTTGTCAACCTTATCCTATAAAAAAAAGGTCCACTTCCTGTGGGGCCGCTTCTGGAAGAAAGAGTTCATCATAAAGAGTCCCTCTTTCTACATGAAGTCGGCCAGCTGCTGGCCCCTTGGGTTCCGTTGCCCTATTCCAAATTTCCCTACTTTCAGCTCACCGTTCTCTCTTGTGCCTAGTTTTGCATTGAAGTCTCCCATTAACACCGTATATTGGGTTTTGGAGGAATGCATGGTTCTAGAGATATCCTCATACATTTCCTCCACCTCCTCATCGGGGTGTGCCGAGGTTGGTGCGTATACCTGTATGACCTTCAGCGAATACCGTTTGGTAATTCTGTTAACGAGAGACTTGTGGACGATAAATCCGACACCTCCTTGGGACAGATGGTCGCCCTCCCGGTGATAGAGCAAGTTGCCGGATTCGAGGATTACCGTGTCCTCCCCCTCTCTTCGGACTTCGGATAATCCTATAATATGCCAGCGCAACTTGTCTATCTCTTATTCCAGCTCCACGATCTTCTCGTCAGTCCTCAGGGTGCGTGCGTTGTACGTTGCCAGGTCGAGTCGTCTAAGGTGGCAACCGAACCTCCACCGGAGATTCTTAGCACCCTCTGCCCTGCCGTTACCATGGTCGCCACCGTAGCCAGGAATAGCGGGGCCGCCGGGGACTGGGGGCCTTCTTTTTGTTACTCTCTTCATAGGGGGTATTTGCCATAGTTGCCACGCTTAGCGAGCGTGTTGGCAACCGCAGTTTTTTCATTGTAATTTTGGCTACTATCAGGAAGATGCTGCTGCCCATCTCCTGCCTGTTTCCCTTTGTCGCCTTTTACGACACCCACGGGAAGATATGGGGTAGTGGATATTCTTGACCGCCACTACACGGCTTATTAACTATGTATTATTAAAAATAACCATGTATTCATTTATACTATAATAACCCTTTTTATACAGTTTCAACTTAACAAAACATTTAAACTTATAATAATAAGGTAAAGGTAATAGAGAGAGCCTGTATCTGTCCCGTGGGTCATAAGAAACTTAAACAAAAGCAGTGGCATCTCGCGACAACAACTCAAAATAGCGTTGGAACTGTGGCAAAATCGTTATAAGGCAATATATACAGGTTACTTATTTTCAGCATTGGATTTTTATAGGCTGTAATGAATCGATGGACGAAATAAGTAATAAAGTAAAAAATATTAATAAAACTTGTGACAACGTCTAAAATAACCTGTTATTATAATATAATTACTCACTAGTCATCAGTTGTACCGAGTGGCGGGACCAGCACAAGAAATCGGAGCATTAGAAGCCCATCTAGACATCATATCAGCGATTCCTGCAGCTCGTTCCACTTCAGGACAACTTGAAGCCTTAGTCAGACTTGCACAAGAAGATAAACAAAAATGGCTTCTATACTTCGACCAAAAGCAAATGTCATACACCAAGATAGTTGACAATCTTGCCGAGTAAGTAACACATTGTTAATATTTTGTATAATCTTAAGTGATTAACGATACCTATAGTTATTTCTTATTTTTTCTAGAACTAGGATTTAATATTCAAGAAAGGATAATATCCGACTTATTTGACCTACCACTTGATAATGACTTAAGGAAATTCATTGCCACAGAATTTTTAATTATACCTATATTATTCTTTTATGATGTAGGTACCATAATAGAAATAATATCATTTGTCTAGTACAACAACAGCCAGTCTAAAACGTAGAATCTTAGCAATCAGTATCTTAGATAATAATGTAAGCGAAGTTAATTATTCCATTTATTTACAATTTTAATCCATAATACAATGCACAAATTATGGTCGGCTTTTGTGACACAAGTGACACAAATTAAATTATTAACATCCCATTACTATTGCAGTCGCAAGCTGTTCTAATTAAATAAATATTTATTTAATTAACCACACATGCTTCCTACTTAACACTTTCACTGTCCGATTTTCAGTCACAGTAGTAAGACAATAGTAATTAACTATATCTACTCGTAGTAGACGGGACAGCGAATGAGTTAAAATCAAAACACTAAATATTATTAAGCTGACCTGGTATGTTTATGTTCCTAGTTGAAATATAAATACGCCACAAAATGTTACAGTCGGTAACTGTCTTATTTTTTTTTTATTTTTTTGCTTTTAATAATAATTTACTTGTTTCAGTATTATTCGCGATGAAGAAGCTAAAATTAAAAGGACAAAGTATGCCGCAAAACGAAATGGTAAATCGATTAGTTGGGATACTTACTACGGATACGAGGAGGTACAGCAAAATAACTAAATCTTTATATACATATAGTTCTTCTGTGCGTGGGTTTGAGTAGGTGAATGAAAGGTTGGTTTTTTTTATAGTATAATTGTGACAAACGAGTACACAGTCCACCTGACGGTTTACGTATCAAAATGCAGATGCGTTGTCACCCGTGAGGACTAAGATGAAACGCCTCGTATCCAGGAAAAAGGGTCTCCGGTTCTCTACACTCACCATACGAAACATTGCAGGGTTAAGCTGCTATTTTACGCTGGTATTCTGTGAGAGCGTAGTCCTTCGCCGGTCGAGCCGACCCATTCGTGCTACAACTATACTTCTAATATAGCTGCAGCATGGCTCTACCACGTAAAATGGTTAAAAATGGATGATTTAAATTCACAATTGGACCCGGTAAGTAGCGCTGTTGTCGAGATCCAGAAATCACCCACGGAAAGCCGGTGCTGATTGCTAATCTTATTTTATATAAGAGGATGTCCTGAGTGACTGTCTCATCTATCAACACACAGTCTTAACCACTAGACGTAGAAATCTAAAATTTGGACACTAGCTGTCTTTTATGACATAGACATTCACTAAAAATTTTTGAAAATACATACATACATAAACACTCACGCCTGTCACCCAGAGGGGTAGGCAGAGACTACGGACTTCCATTTGGCGCGATCCTGACACACCTCTCTCGCCTCTTTTATATCCATATATCTACGCATACACGCTCGTCGGTTAAGGGTACTCCTAATCTGGCCCATTTTTAATGTATCGCCGATTTGGTCGATAAACCTTCGTCTAGGGCGTCCCTTCCCTTGCCGTTCACTTCTGCAACATAAATTTGCTTTGTCACTCTTTCCTCGTTCGTTCTTTCTACATGACCAAACCACCGAAGGATTCCTTTCTTAATCCTTGTCACAACGTCATCTTGCAAACCACACTTTTCTCTTATCACACTATTTCTCACCCTGTTATTCAGATTCAGCCCTAGCATACTCCTTAAGGAACGCATTTCTACAGCATTTATTCTACTCTCATGCTTCTTCTGCTAGACCCAACTTTCACTACCATACATTAAAGTAGGGACTAAGACAGCATTATGAATTGCCATACGTGGCTTAGTTGACACATTCTGACTCCTCATAATAGCGTGTAGAGCCCCATTCACTCTATTTCCTGCGTTCACTCATCGTACTATATCCTTATCATATCTACCATCCCTGCTAAATAAACATCCCAAATATACAAACTCATCCACTTGCTCAATCAACTCCCCTTCTACTCTTATTTCACATAAAGTTTTACTTTCTTCTCTTTCAAAAACCATCACTTTCGTCTTACTTGCGTTCACTTTCATACTCCTTTCTTTCGATGACCAATTTATTAAAGTAACCATCATTTGCAACTCGGCCGCCGACGATGCAAATATGACTTGATTATCGGCGTACAAAAGGCATTTGACGGTTGACTCACCCATTCTCAACCCACATTCTTCAACTTTCAAAGTTTGCAAACAACTGTCCATAAATAGGTTAAACAGCCACGGGGAAGCCACACATCCCTGTCTGACACCTTTATGAATGCCAAACCAGTCCGAGTAGACCCCGTTGATGCTGACACAAGCAGAGTCCTTAGTGTTTAGAGTCCCTATAAAGAGACCTTAATGCCTGTATCAAGCTAGCGCTCAACCCAAATGAGTTCAGTATTTGCCATAACACATTCCTGTCCCCTCTGTCATAAGCCTTTTCCAAGTCCATGAAAGCACAAAAAACTTTCTGGGTTTTGGCCAAAAACTTCTCCGCTATCATGCGCATGGAAAAGACTTGATCCGTACACCCCATCCCCTTTCTAAATCCAGCTTGCACATCCCAAATTTTTCCATCAGTTTCTTCCATAACTCTTTCAATTAACACCTTAGCATACAGTTTACCCACAATGCAAAGCAAGCTGATACCACGGTAGTTTTTACAGTCCTGCTGCGACCCCTTTCCCTTATATATTGGGACTATAACGGCTTTGCACCAGTCTTCCGGTACCCGCTTCAGTTCCCAACATAAATTAAACAAGATGTACAGCAGGCCTGCAACCACACCCTCACCAGCCCTTAGCATTTCGAGTGATACTCTATCATATCCGGCTGCCTTACCTGCTTTCATGCTTTTCATTGCTTTCATTATTATTATCATCTACACTTATCTCCCTACCTTTCTCCACTTCTTCCGGAATTTCTATTTCAATTATTTCAGACGACTCTTCACTCTTAAACACGCTTTCAAAATATTCCTTCCATCTCTTTAAATTCGAAACTTCATCATTCAGCATGCAGCCATTCTCGTCTCGTATAGCATTCATTCTAGGCTGTTTTGAATTTCCCCTGGCAGTTCTTATGAGCTTCCAGAACATTTTAATATTTTCCTGGAAGTTATCAGATACCCTTCTATCATTTTTATCTATCCTTTCTTGCTTTTTCCTTTCAACAACTTCTTTTACTCTCTTATTTATACGTCTAAAGTCTGCCTTTTTTCTTTCAATCTCATCATTCATACCGCCAGAATTACCAGCTTTAGTTGCTAGTAAATCTAGCCATGCACTCTTCTTTGCTTCTACTTCCATCCGTACGTCATCATCCCACCACAACGTATTACTTTTCCTCTCATTCGTTCTCTTACTTACACCACATGCTTCGGTCGCTGCATCCACCAAAACTTTCTTAATATTATTCCATACATTCTTCAATTCTAAATCAATCATACATAATTCATTCAACCCACTTATATTTTCCCTCAGTCTGCATTTATACTTCTCTTTCACACCTTCATCTTCTAACCTCTCTATTCTTATACGCTGTAACGCAGTGGTAGACACCGATGTCCGATGCCACCAACGTCTGAATAGACCATTAATTCGGCATAAGACCAAGTAATGATCCGTCCCTACGTTGGACCCCCGGTAAAACCTTGTATCTACCACTGCGCTCCTCATTCTTTCATCCACAATTATAAAATCTATCATGCTTCTATCATCCCCTCTTTCCCATGTATACATGTGAATCCTCTTATGGCGAAAGAAAGTGTTCGCCACAAAAAGATTCTTTTCCACACATACGGTGAGGAGGTCTTCACCATTCTCATTTATTCATTCATCGCCAAACGTTCTTAATATCCTTTCATAACCAAACCTCTTCACCCCAACCCTTCCATTAAAATCTCCTAACATAATAATATTTTCATTTTTCTTACATTTTATCAACATCAGCCTTACCATGTCCCAAAACTTCTCTCGGATATAAGTGGGCTTAGACATATCTGGGGCGTACACCCCTAGCACAAACAACTTCTTTAAGCCCACTTTCATTCGTATCCACAGCAGCCTTGGGCTAACACATTCATACTCTTTCACACATTGACCCATTCTTTCTGAAAGGATGACACCGACTCCCTGGCATGCCCGCTCGGTCTCGTCTACTCCAGACCAGTAAGCGGTATACATGCCATGTGCAGTGACATCTCTTCCCTTTCGTTTCGTCTCGTTTACACATAACACATCTATTCCTCTATCATTCATCATTTCGCATACTTCATCCATCTTATCATTCATTGCTACACTAGGGTTTGTTCCCGGGAATTCTCGTCCCGGGAATTCCCGGGAAATCGGTCGGTCTCGTACCCGGGAAATTCAGCTCGAGAAAAGTCGAGACATCGAGAAGTTTAAATAAACATTTTTACGCTTAGCTTTCTTTGTAAATGCGAGGCGGCAGCGGCATCCTTTGACAGCACGGCTCGTGTCTGTCGGTATCCTTTGTTTTTGCCGACAAACGCAAGCGCGACGCGGCCTCAGCTCAGTTGTATTTTGTTCATTCGTGTTTCAACTCCCGCCGTGTTCGGATCGGTCGGATCATAAACCCAGCATAGTGAGTGTATTTACTATTTAGTGACGCACGAGTAATAGAATCGCAGAACAAACAGGTAAGTATTGTTATTATTTATTTAAATAGTTCAAGTGTTTGTTTTGTTTTGTAAGTACTTTTGTATTACCAAAATAATATTTTTGTTTAAAATATTAGGTATGTTAAAGAAATAAAACTTTTGTTTTTAATCAAATAAGAGAATTGTTAGTGCATAAATATTTACCGATTTCATTAATTGCATTTGTATTGCAGATGTTGTAATAATCCCACAAAAGCCTAAAGTTCTAAACTAAACACATAATATTAAGACGTTGTTTTATGGCAATTTATCTACTACAAATAACACAAAACGTATCCAACCAATCCTACCAAACGTAGTATACAAAAGGACACAGCTATTTTTTCATCATCATCATCAGCCTAACCTAACCACATCAACCCCCTGCTGGGCATAGGCCCCCCCACTGTTGCGTCAGCTATTTTGTAGGTACTAAACTAAAATACTTACTAATTCTTGAACTGTTTGTTATAGATTTTACAACTAATGAACCAAAATGGAAACTTCCAAAGTTTGGAAATATTTCAAGAAAAATAAGGACGCCTCAAATGCGCAATGTCTAAAATGTCCTAAAACCATAGCCTGTAAAGGATCAAACACAAGCGGACTAGTGAGGCATTTAGCTCATGTACACAAAATTGATGTAAGATCCACCGAGGTTAAAATGGACACAGAAGAAGCATCTACCAGTTCGTCTAGTTCCGGGGTGACGGCACCAAAAAAATTAAGAAGTGATTTTGAAACTATGCACGTACAGCAAACACTGAAATTTGACGTTCAACCCAGAAAATCGTTAGGTGAAATTTTAGCTAAACTTTCAGCCCAAGATGGTTTTACTATAAGAGGCATTACTAAAAGTGAATTTATCCGTGAATCACTTGCTGCCAAGGGGTATAAACTTCCAAAGACCCAAACCGAAGTTATGAACCTAATATTGAAGTTTTATGATGAAAAGGAGAAAGAGATGATAAAAGAGCTTTCTCAGCTTTGCACATCACCATCAGGAAACCGGCTAAGTGTGACAATTGACGAGTGGACGAGCATACGAAACAGACGATATTTAAGCGTCTGTGTTCATACAGCAGAGGCAAAAGTTTACAATTTGGGGCTAGTTTACATACCCGGAAAATGCGGTGCCGCAGAGGTTAGAGAAATAGTAGAGGAGCGTTTGAAATACTTTGGGGTAAACTTCGAGCATTATGTCTTGGCCGTAACAAGCGACGGGCCAAATGTTATGAAAAAATTTGGCAGAGAGAGCCCCTGTGAGATGGTCCTCTGTGTAAACCACGCCATCCATTTGGCTATTCTTGATACCTTTTGCAAAAAAAAAAAACAGTAACTACAGTTGCTAGAAGAAACACACCTGTTAGCGACGATGAACACAGCAGCTCTGATGAAGCCAGCACTGATAACGATGACGAAGAATCTGATGATGAATCTATATTGCAGCCTATTGACGACATAAACAAAGTGCTAAATGAGACCCGTTCGATCATAAGATTTTTCAGAAAGAGTCCCCTTAGAAATATCACACTACAAAAACATGTGAAGACTGAATTCGGGGCCGAACTAGTCTTATTACAGGATGTCAGAACTAGGTGGAATTCAATGCTAACAATGATTGAGCGTTTCTTGAAGTTAAAAAATTCCATTAAAAAAGCCTTGATTGATTTAGATAGCTCATTTAAATGGAAGGAGGAAAATATTCCTATACTACAAAAATTGCGGTTGATATTGACGCCAACTAAACTTGCAGTTGAAGCATTGAGCAGACAAGATGCCAATTTACTAACTGCAGAGGCTATAACAGATGTGTTGCTAAAACAATTAGAAAGTATCGACGACCCTTTGGCTCTTCAGTTAGTAGAATCTCTTAAAATGAAAATATCAGATCGTCGGAATACACCTCTAATATCGCTGCTACGCTACCTAAACAGCCCCGATAATTTTATTCTCAAAAAGAGTGCTTATTTTACCGATAATAGCAAGACATTTTTAATTGGATACGCTGAAGACTTATTCAATCGTCTATACCCCACTGTTCCCACTACTACAGAACCTTCGACAGGAAATAATTCAGAAGTTGTCGAAGCAGGCGTAAGCGAATCAGAAACTGAACAAGACAGCTTTGCAGCTCAATTAGAGAGAGCAATAAAAGGTGTTTCGAGAAATGGTGAATCAACTAATGCTGTGGTGCTTTCCAAATCAATTATAAAAAAAGAGTTTTTGCTATTTGAAAAAACAGGCAAGAGGACCCCTAATCTGGAAACACTATACAAAGCATTAATTTCAGTCAAGCCGACTTCAACAGAAAATGAAAGGGTATTTTCCATATCGGGAAATGTGGTCAGTAAGATTAGGAGCCGGCTGTCTGATAAATCTATTAATGCTTTGGTTTATCTTAAGGCATATTTCATAAGAATTAATAAGCAGGCTTAAAGACAGTTATATTTTTCGTATTAATAGTAGATAGATATCTCTTATTTAATTACATTAAAACTGCCAAAAATTGTGATACCATACCACCCACATAGTGAGATTAGTGAGTGATCTTTAGTTATGATGAGAAAAATTATGATTGTTTTTAGTTAAGATGTTTGTTTTAAGCTGATTGTTAACAGAGATTTTGTTTTTTATTAAAGATTAGTGAGATTAGTTATAATAAGAAGAAGTATGATTGTTTTTAGTTAAGATGTTTGTTTTAAGCTGATTGTTAACAGAGATTTTGTTTTTTATTACAGATTAGTGAGATGAGATTAGTTATGATAAGGAGAAGAAGTATGATTGTTTTTAGTTAGCAATTTTGTTTTGAGCTGATTTTTTATTGAGAACTTGTTTTTTTTTGTTAAAAATTATGTTGATTTTTTTCATGTAAAATAAACACAGTTAAATTAAAGACTCTTTTTATTAATTATACAAAAATTTAGACGTATTTTATTTTTTCTCGACAACCCGAGAAGACCCGAGAAATCAGGCTCGAGAAGTCTCGACACCCGAGAACTAAAAAACCTCGAGAAATCGGAATCGATATGCTACACATACATTCAGCGTAGCCAGACGGGCCTCCGCAATCCACTTTTCGCCCCCCCCCCCCCCCCCGGGGGACGTGACGGGTGGCAAACCTCGTCGCCGGTTTTTCTCCCGGAGATTCTTTGCATCCCTGCCCCATTAAAGGGGCGCCGGGAACTCGGGGCCATTTCTTTTTCTCCTTGGCTCATGGTGCGAACTAAGGGGTAGTAGATTCTACGCCGCTACCATACGGCGAGGAGCCGAGTATGTCGTTTCGGCTTTGTCGCTCGTTTAGCACCACCCAGGGGACACGTGTAGGGTGGACCTAGGATTGGTTTCATTTTTGAAAATTCAACCCCTAAAAGGGTGAAATGGGGTGTTACAGTTTGTATGAAACTTTTTTGAAACGAGGGTAGAAGCGTGAAATCGGGTAAACAGATTTCTTTAATTACGTAGGCATTCACTAAGTAAGGTTTTTGAAAAATTTAAACCTTCAGAGACATTAGTGCTACAGTTTGCACGACACTTTTTATTTTAACGATTTCATATTTCATTATCACCATCATGATCATCATTACAACCCTTCACAAGTCCACTGCTGAACATAGGCCTCCCCCAAGAAATGCCACAAATGCACGGTCCTGAGCCACCTGCATCCATCGACTTTCTGCATGTCTTACCAGATCATTACTCCATCTAGTGGGAGACCACCCCACACTTCGCCTACCGGTACGAGGCTGCCACTCGAACCTTTCTTACCCTTCGGTTGTCGGTTCTTCGAGTTATATGTCCTGCCCATTGCCCCTTCAGCTTACTAATCCGTTGTGCTATGTCGGTTACTCTGGTTCTACTGCGGATCATGTGTAACGCCCAGGTCGCAACTACGTCGGTAGTTGTTGGGAGCACTAAGCTCGAAGTTGTTGACAATTACGTCTAACTGGGACAAATAGTCCGACTAGGTAAGTCCAACTTCAACCGAGAGGCCAATCGACGTATTGAACTCGGCTGGACAGCGTTCGGGAGTTTACGAAACACCATCTCGTCAGATATACCTTGATATCTAATAGGCAACACGCACTGGTTGTACAAACCAGTATGTGTAGCCAGTGATGACTTATGGATCTGTGACGTGTCCTTCACTGCTGACCGTATGAGCAAGCTCAAAGGTGTTCAGCGAGCTATGGAGAGGGCTACACTCCGGGTTTCTCTTCTTGATAAACTTAGAAATGCGTATTTCATATTTGTATACAGAAAAATTATTAAATGACTTGATACTTAAAAAATTAATACAAATACTTTTGTATTAAAAAAAATGAAATATAAATTTTACGAAAATGTTATCTTAAAGTGTTATAATGAGGGTACAAAATTTGCATGGAACAAATTGTTTTTTAACTTAACCATAAAGTGAAGTTATGAAAATTATGAATAACACATATTTTAAAACTTTAAATAAGTAAACCTAACCTTAAGTTCTTAATTTCCTAATTTTAAAATTTCATAATCATTGTTTTTTTTTTTAAATCATTGTAGGTAGGTATATAGGTTAGTATTGTGGCAATTTGTAACTGGCATTAACGTCGAATTAAAAGACATTAGTATGGCTGTTACTAATGTTATTACTGTTGTTAATCTATACTTTTAAAATGGTTTATTCGTACCTAACATTTAATACTAGCGATCCGCCCCGACTTCGCAAGGGTGATTTCTGTGGGTCTCGACAACAGCGCAACCTACCGGGACAGGGACAGGGACCAGCTCAAGCACACACAAAAAATTTCATCGAATTTGGTCCAGCTATTTTCGAGTTTTTGTGAGACTAACTGACAGCAATTGATTTTTATATATACAAATATACAATAGTTCAACCCCAGTAAAGCCGGGGCATGCCGCTAGAATAATAGATTTATGTTTTAATACATCAAATTCAAAGACTCTTTAACATCTTACAGATCAACGATTACCTAGATGAATTAGGAGAGCAATATCCTGATATGGTAACAGTTATGAATCCAGGCTTGAGTTACGAAGGTCGTCAGATCAAATACGTAAGGATCTCTACAACGCGATTCGAGGACTTGAGGAAACCCGTCATCATTATTGATGCATGTGTTCACGCACGCGAATGGATCACGCCAGCCGTCGCCCTATACATTATTAATCAACTGGTTGTTGATATTGTGGATAACAATCTAACTGAAAGGCTCGACTGGGTGATAATTCCTCTAGTGAATCCCGACGGCTACGAATACTCAATTACCCAGGTAATACGAAAACAAACATATTTTCATTCTTCTTTTTTCTCAAAACATGAGTAATAATCACAATAATTCACCTAACATAATGACCTCGTTGTGGTGCCTGAAGAGAACATTACACCTTTCTCATTTTTTAAATGTTGATGTTAAAGTCGTTTAGTAAAAAGTAATCATTACAAAAATTCTAGCGTCATTCATCACAAAAAAAACGGAAACAGCATCCGTTAATTAAATACGTAAGAATATATTAAGTATGCTGCAGCTATATTAATAGTATAGTAGCACGAATTGGTCGGCTCGACCGGGGAAGGACCACGCTCTCACAGAATACCAGCGTAAAATAGCAGCTTAACGCTGCTGTGTTTCGTATGGTGAGTGTCTCTACACACCGGAGACCCTTTTTACTGGAAACGAGGCACCTCACGGGTGACAACGCATCTGCATTTTGATTCTTAATCTAAGATAGGTGTAGATGTCTATGGTCCACTGCAACCACTTACCATCAGGTGGACTGTGTGCTCGTTTGTCACCCTAATCCTATAAAAAAACAGAGTTATATATTTGAGATGCGCTCGTATGAGTTTTAAACTTTAAATAAGTAAAACCGTCTTCAAAAACTACAAAGAGTGAAATTTTTACCACATAATTTAACTCTTAAAGCAAGTTTTAGTACTATGTAGGTTTAACTAAGAATTATGGCCCCGACTTCAGAGCTATTAAATTATGTGAAAATTATTTTTTCTTTTTAATTATTTTACCTTTTTGAGTGGATTAAACTATAACACACGCTCAAGGTGACACCTAGTAATAATAATGTCCTCCAGACCGAATTTCGGTCACGGCAGCCAGTCTCAACGGAGACTAACCATCGGCACAGGACAGGATTATAGTGCCCAAGTGTATGCGCAAGCACAGGTGCACTCTCTATTCCCTCACTCTCATATTCCGATGGGACGGTCAACCGACACGACCGGAGAGAGATCAGTCGCAGGACCGACGGCTTTACGTGCTTTCCGAGGCACGGGGGTGAGACACCGCCAACTTCCTGACTCCGGGCAGCTACTGAGAATTTCTTGATGGAAAAACTCAATAACTGATTTTTTTTGGCCCGACTCGAGATTCAAACCCGGGACCTCATGATCAGCAGTCGCACTACTGCAACCACTACACCAACAAGGCAGTCAAAAGGTGACACCTAGAACGCTGTCTATTATATTATCTCCTTTCTTCCATTCATTTCTGAAAGGGTTGTGGAGCAATAAGTCCGTCGCGCTGCTCCAGTGCTTGTTGACGGACTGCAAATTATATACACAAAATATTTAATTCCTTCGACATGCAAGTTTCATCGCGATGGTTTCGTTCACCGCCGAGCATGTGATAAATCAACACTAAAAATGGCAATTAGCAATTTCATTGGAGCCGACGGGGATGGAACGGGGTTGCTCATCGCGTATAGTCTCTAAGCCACCATTGCAAATTGTGTCGGACTAAATTTATTTAATACCTGTTAACCTCTCCTGTTAATTGGTATTAATTTCTCCAATAATTAGTGTCTTTTGATTTTTGTTTGAATGAAATTTTCCAAACATTCGAACCTGCAATATTTAGATTCTCACCATGCACGCTAAGGTTGCTTCGCACGTATATCGTTTAGACAAAAGAGCTATAAATACTGAATAATGACGTAAATACCCCTAACACCCTTTTCATACCCATTTTGAACGACATTTGTCACCGTTTTAGTGGGTTTTAGACCTTTAGTCCTGACAGATACGGGATAAAACTGCAGATGTTAATAAATGTTCAAATGACCTTTAATATATCTTGGGAAATTGCCTATTCCATACGTGACTGATCCGTTTACAAGAACAAGAAGCGCGCCGTTGAGTAATGACATACTGTTTTAACACATTTCGTGAGCAAACTTTAGATTGAGACATCTGTAAACACTGAACATAGAAAATATAATGTTTTTATTTAAAAGCCTAGCAGACAATATTTAGAATTCCATTATGGTTTAACAAGATTTTTTATTATACAACATGTAACAAAAACCCTGTGGTTACCGTTAAATACGTTATCAGGATCAGTATTCAAACCTATAGAAATAACTTTTTTTTTTAAAACTCGACCATATATTTTTTTTATTGTATTAAAAATTTAATTTTTTAATTTTATGTGGTTTTATTACCTCTTACTGACACTAGCCGATGCTAAAGCTAAGTAAAGCGGGGTCTTTGACAATCCTCTTACTCTCCCAGACAATGCAGAGGCAATAAATCCACATACAATTTTTTTAAATAAAATAAAAAAATATTCATTTTATGGGATAAGGGTGACAAACGAGCACACAGTCCACCTGATGGTAAGTGGTTGCTGCGGCCCATAGACATCTACATCTATCCTCTATTACAAATCAAAATGTAGATGCGTTGTCACCCGTGAGGACTAAGATGGAATGCCTCATTTCCAGTAAAAAGGGCCTCCGGCCACCTGCACTCACCAAGTGAAACGCAGAGGTAAACCTCTACTTCACGCTGGTTTTCTGTGAGGTCGTGGTACCACCCCGGTTAGAGCCGGCCCATCCGTGCGACAGCAAAATCTGCAGTGTGTCATATAGTTCGAGCTTTTAAAAAAAAAGTTATTTCTATACGTTTGAATAATGATCCTGATAACGTACTTAACGGGAACCACAGGGTTTTTGTTACATATTGTATAAATGACTTCGTCCGCGTGGAATTTATTAAAATTGTATTGTATGGGTTTTTTGTGCGGTACCCTAATTATTTTTCTAAAATAAAAGTAGCCTAAGTCACTCCTTATAACATCAGCTATCAGCCTGTGAAAGTCCCGTCAAAATCGGTCTAGCCATTTCGGTGATTAGCCGGAACAAACAGACAGACAGAAAGACAGACAAAAATTTTAAAAACTGACATTGACATTACAAACAGACACTTCAATTTTATTTATTTGTATAGATGTATACATTAACGTATAATATACAGTTCACACTTATATTATAATAATGTCTTCCGGACTGTATTTGGTCACGGCAGCCAGACTGAACGGAGACTAGCTATCAGCGCAGAAAATAATTAAGGAGTATAATTCAACAGCGTGTGCACAAGCACAGGTGTACTTCCTATTCCCTTACTCTCATACTCCGATGGGACGGCAATTCGACACGACCGGAATTGAAGAGAGAACAGGTGCAGATCTAACGGTTTTACTTGCTTTCCGAGGCACAGGTTGAAACATTGCTAACTTCATGACTGGGAGGGAACTGAAATTTTCTTGAAAGAAAGACCCAATACTACAGGATCTGGGACCACATGATCAGTAGACTCCAGCCCCCAGCACAACATTTGTAGTTTGTTTAAATTGTATTCAATCGAATTGTGTGGACTAAATAAATGAAATATTAATGCATATATAAAAAAAAAATCAGCTATATAATTTTAAAGTCACCAGTTAGCAAAGATTTTAGTAGTGAAATACATTTATTCATCAAAACCAGAAGTTATATGCTGTTCAACGTATTTCTTCTTGGCTGCCATTTTTATGATATTACCTCTAGAATTATAATATAATATTACACCAGACCTGCGTCCTAGTTTTATGCCATAAAACGGTACGCGTTTGTCAATAAATAATGCACATTGTGCATGGTACAAAGGTTTTATAAACTTATTTTACAAACTTTAGTATTAATTGCAATTGAAAATTAATCAGTCTTAAATTGTGTTTATAGATTTACCACTAATATTTATTTGCCAGGACCGCATGTGGCGTAAGACACGCTCTAAGGCACCCGGTGGTACGGAAGAATGTCTAGGTGTCGACGGAAATCGCAACTTCGACCACTACTGGGGTACTAGTGCAGCCAGTGCGGACCCCTGCAGTCTTATTTACGAAGGACCGGCTCCCTTTTCTGAACCTGAAATCCGCGTTGTTAGGGATGTGATCGTGCAGAATTTGGACCGAGCTGCAATGTACATTTCGTTGCACAGTTATGGTAGTATGTTCCTGTATGCGTGGGGTAACAATGGTAAGTTACAAAAATAAGAAATTAGTAATTTGAATGTTTTATGTTTCATAGAATGAGTGTGACAAACGAGCACGAGCGGGTGCTGAGATCCATAGACACCTACATCTATCCTCGCTTAAGAATCAAAATGTAGATGGACTTAGGTAGAGTGCCTTCTTACCAGTAAAAAAGGTCTCCAGTTCTCTACATGCACATTAAGAAACACGTCAGCATCAAGTTCTACGCTGGTATTATTTAAGATCATGGTCTTTCCCCGATCGAGTAGACTCATTCATTAAAGTTAAAGTTACAGCCTATATACGTCCCACTGCTAGGTACAGGCCTCCTCTCATTTCTTAGAAGGTTTTAGGGCAAGCAAAAGTCTGCCGCACTGCCCCAATGCATGTTGGCAAACTTCGCATGTCTTTTAAATTTTTTTTTGTTATTTCTCAGACGTGCAGTTTTCCTCACTCGCTCGTTGCTCACGTGCTGTGAAATTTACAGCGAGCACCAACCATCTGAGCTACCATGGCTCTCTGTGACCCATTCGTATTGTAACCTTATTATAGCTGCAGCGTGGCTCTACTACATAAAATTTCATGTTTGAACATAAATCTGTTATAAGAATGAAAAAAAATATAATATTAGGTAAGCCGCACTTTTGCTGATAAACCACGCAGAGAACTTTGTGAATCTTTGCCAAATCAATAATATTTTAAGGAAATGTAAGAAATGAGATGAAATCCATCAATAAGCAAGGAACAATGGAGCAGGGTAACAGACTATTTCCTGCTCCTGGAGAGACCAAGCAAGAAACCAGTAGAAGATTTACTTAAAAAATAATAAAAAATATGGGTGAAGGTCGTGGAACACTCTGTTGGAACGAAGTTCCTTTCGTAGTACCTATAGTATATATTATTGTTTAACAAATACAAATAAATGAATTACAAGCGTCTATTAAAATGAAGCGTCATTTAAAATAATATATCATTCATGACAAAATAAGAAAAAGTGTGAGAGAGATGGACATTATTCCATCTCGTTCGCACTGTTGTACGTTTAGAAAGGAGGTCGTGACGGAAAAATCTTACCCTTTTTCTCGCCTAGCTCCCATCCGCCAAATTCGTACCGTGCGACTTCGTTCCAAATATTGTAATACAATAAATTCTTTATAGCTATTTTAAGTTATACAAGCTTAATAGTGATGACCTTATTCCTAGCCGTAGGCAGCCGCGTAACTACCGTAGGGCTAGGTGTGGCAGTGCTCTGGGGCCCCCGAGCTAAAGGGGCCCTTCGGCCTAATTGAATAAATAATTATCGATTTTTAATTTTTTGGCCGCTGAACTAACAAACTTCATCATTATCATCATTCATCATTACAGCCCTTCACAAGTCCACTGCTGAACATAGGCCTCCCCCAAAGAATGCCACAAAGCACGGTCCTGAGCCACCTGCATCCATCGACTTCCTACATATCTTACCAGGTCGTCACTCCATCTAGTGGGGGGACGCCCTACACTTCGCCTGCCGGTACGAGGCTGCCACTCGAGAACCTTTCTTCCCCATCGGTTGTCGGTTCTTCGAGCTATATGGCCGGCCCATTGCCACTTCAGCTTACTAATCCGTTGGGCTATGTCGATCACTCTAGTTCTACTGCGGATATCCTCATTTCTGAGTTTATCACGCAGAGAAACTCCGAGCATAGCCCTCTCCATAGCTCGCTGAGCGACCTTGAGCTTCCTCATCCGGCCAGCAGTGAAGGACCACGTCTCAGTTCCGTATGTCATCACTGGCAACACGCACTGGGTGTACAGTCTCGTTTTCAAGTTTTGAAGTATACCTGACGAGAAGATGTGCCGTAATTTCCCGAACACTGCCCAACCGAGTTGAATCCGTCGATTGACCTCTCGGTCGAAGTTGGACTTACCTAATCGGACTATTTGTCCCAGGTAAACATACTCGTCAACAACTTCGAGCTTAGTGTTCCCAACAACTACTGGCATAGGTGTGACATGGACATTAAACATGATCTTTCTTTTGTCCATGTTCATCTTAAGACCTATCCGTTGGGAAACACTATTGGGGTCATTGAGCATAGTGCTTAGGTCCTCCAGCGATTCTGCCATAAGGACTATATCGTCGGCAAATCGAAGGTGAGTGATGTACTCGCCATTGATGTTGATACCGTATCCTTTCCAGTCCAGAAGCTTGAAAACATCTTCCAATGCAGCGGTAAAGAGTTTCGGGGATATGACGTCACCCTGTCTTACACCTCTCTGCAATTGGATAGGTTTCGTACTCTGGTTTTGTACTCGGATAGCCATCGTAGCCCTACTGTACAAGCACTTCAACACTTCGATATACCGACAGTCAACTTGGCATCGCTGAAGGGACTGCAGCACCGCCCGAATTTCGACGGAATCAAAGGCTTTCTCATAGTCCACATACGCCAGACATAGTGGCAAATTGTACTCCTCGGACTTCTGTACAATTTGCCGAAGGGTATGTATGTGGTCTATGGTGCTAAAGCCTTTTCGGAAACCGGCTTGTTCGGGAAGACGCGGCTCAGAAGGGAAATCGGTCTGTAGTTCTTCAAGAGAGCGTTGTCGCCTTTCTTGAAGAACAAGACCACCGCACTTCTGCTCCACGCCTCCGGTGTAATGCCACCATGGCGGACGGAATTAAAGAGCTTCTGAAGGACTTCAAGTACCGGTTTTCCACCCGCTTTCAGAAGCTCCGCTGTAATTCCATCCTTGCCTGGGGCCTTGCCGTTTTTAAGGTGATGGAGAGCTATTCTAATCTCGCTCAGACTGACGTCCGGGATAACTTCAAATGACTCGAATTGAAATCTCAAAAATGTTCCCCCACCTTCAGAATATAAACATAAAATTATTGTTAAAATAAAATTGTCTACTTCCTTTATTATCTACCTAATATATAATTATTTACTGTAATCTACTCGACTTCGTTCGCCTTGTATGGACCAACATTGAAAAGTATCGAGCAGTATCCTTTTATCGAGATAAAAGTATTCTATGTCCTACCCAGGTCGAGCTCTATCCGTGTGCAAAATTATTTACAAACAAATAAACTTTCACATTTATAATAGTACGATTAAATATTATCTGCTGTATTATACATAATACTTAGTAGAAGCTTTGCTTAATTTACCCTGCAGTGGGCGATAAGGAGCTCATTATAAATTATTATTCATTAGGCACCTTTAAAGTAGGTATTTAGTTTAATTTAAATTATCCTATATATATTACTTGGTCTATGGTTTAAATAGAGCCCTAATTTCATTTTTGCCCCCTGGGCCCTTGATTACATAGCTACGCCACTGGTCCTAGGTATTATTGTAATCCGAGAATGCTTCATTTTTATACTCTAATACACTTTTAAAGGAAATATTTTTTTATATACTTTAACACTATGGGATTTTCTTATAGAAAATACTGAAAATAGACTGCATAGAATGCAATAAACATTACTGCATTGGGTTTGTATTTCGCATTAATAATGGATTAATTACTTTTCCTATTTAAAATACATTTGTATTTGTGTAATATACCCGCATAAAGTTATTCATTCATTTAATATTTTCTCTTAAAATCGACTCGGGACTCTGAATTGCTTTTAAGATTCCCTTCATAAAAACAAACATAGGGGGCTTTGATGTTGGATACCTACGTGTTCCCGTTTTATCATCCTTTTTATATTTTAAATTTTGTTGGACTGTGGTTGCACTTTGGATAATATTTTATTATTTTGAATCTATATTTAAGTTAAAATATTTCTATTTCTATTTCTATCACTATTATTTGATATTTGGCTCTTCTTACGCCACCATCACTCATAAATTATACTATCAATATACATATTGACAAAGTCAGTAGTAAAATCTACCTATTATAACATTTAAAGAATTTGAAGTGATTTAAATTTACATTTATAAAAATATTTTCACAGGTACTTTACCATCAAATGGTCTGGCCCTTCACGTGGCTGGTGTGCGAATGGCAACAGCTATTGAGGAATTGGCTCTCGAAAAGGCTGACCCATACATCGTTGGCAATGCAGCTAATGTCCTATACAATACCACTGGTACTTCCAGAGACTGGACTCGAGCTGTTGGCATTCCTTTCACTTACACACTCGAGCTACCTGGATACGAATACGGATTCCTACTCCCACCGGAATATATCGAACAAATAGTTAAAGAAACTTGGGATGGAATCGCTGCTGGAGCACACTACATTTTATCTCTATATTAACTATTGTGAAAATAAATTAAATTTATTTTATACCCTAGACTTATTGTACTTACCCTACATGTGAAAATCAAAATTTAATAATAACAGATCCGGCAAGAAACGTTGGATGGATCAATATTTCTAGGAAAACAACAATAATTTTATATAAAATGAGTGGAATTAAATATGACAGTTTTATTACAATTATACAATTTATTGATTTAACGAGCCACTAAATATACAGATAAGATGTCATGGCTTATCGTACAATAAATAAGAACTCAGTCAATAGTATACCTAATTCGATAAAGTACTCAAAATAGTTAATTTTGTTCTTATGACAAATTAAAAAAGATAAATTTTCATATAAACTAATTAAGTAAATAAATACCGGCAGCTGCAACTGTTTCAACGTCCATCTCGGACAGATGACAATACAAATATGTAGGATGCACGATCGTGTGGGCAGCCGCGCAATGATTGTGACAATCATGGCCCATTCTGTAGTTGTCCACCATGGCCGATCGTGTATAGGGCCCATGAGGGCGCACAATTCACCTGATGGTAAGTAGTTGCTGTGGCCCATAGACATCTACATCTATCATCGTTAGCGAATCAAAATGCAGATGCGTTGTCAGCCGTGAGTTCTAAGATGGAATTTCTCTTTTCCAGTAAAAAGAGTCTCCGGTTCTCTACACTCACCATACGCAATACAGCAGTATTAAGCTGCTACTTTATGCTGGTATTCTGTGAGAGCGTGGTTTTTTCCCGGTCGAGCCGACCCATTCGTGCTACAACTATACCTATTAATATAGCTGCAAAATGGTTCTACCACGTACAAATATTATATTCTATATAATCTTATTTAAAGCTGTTAAAATGTGTAAATTTACAACCAACATAAAAAACAGCATGAAGCACTAGGGTTATTGAATTTTTTAAGTTTTTTAAACTAAATAATAATATGCATTACACATTAGTTAATAATAATTATGACACGAAGCGTCAAAAAACTCCAGAATCGTTTGAGAGTATGGTTTGAGCTCGTGATGCTATCCTATTTTGTTAGAAGAGCTTCTTTCAAATATTGTTATGGGAACATTATTTTCATTATTTTATAAAATTCTAATTAAAATAAATTAAACTATCGCAATATGTTTGGAAGACTGCAACTATAAACTTTTTATGTCTGGATTTGGAGACTTATTACATGGAAAAATATATTATTTTAATCATGAGCAACCGTGTAATTCTAGCATCATTTGGGTCTCTGAGTATTCAACATTACACGATCCTCTGATTACACTATTAGAATACAGTTAAGTTTACTAATCTACATATTTAACGCCAGCTTTAGTTTACTTGCGCCTAAGAACAAAATTAACTGTCTGTAATCCAATAATTCACTTAAGAAAAGTTTCAGAAGTGTTAAACGAACGCCTTATACAATTACGTAACTTGATCCTCTTTGCTCAAATGCCTGAAGGGCATCAAAAAGTTGAACACACTTCAAACATTTGCGGTAAAAGGAAAATTTGCAAATTATCCTAACAATCTTAACATACTTACTAGAATTACTTATTTTGAAACAGAAGATTATTATTATTCTTAGCAGTGGTAGCTCAGGAGAAAAAAGTATTAATTTACTATGAACTTGACGATAAGGGAAACCATAGTAAACCTGTATGTCTGAAAAATAAAACGATGAGAACATGTGAAATCCGCCAAAATGCCATCCCCCAATTTTATACATAGTAAAGCCACGCTACAGCTATATTATGGTTACAGCACCGGGGAAGGACTACGCTCTCATAGAATACCAGCGTAAAATAGCAGCTTAACACTGCTGTGTTTCGTATGGTGAGTGTAGAGAACCGGAGACCCTTTTTACTGGAAAAGTGGCATTCCCTCTTAGTCCTTACGGGTGACAACGCATCTGCATTTGGATTCGCAAACGAGGATAAATGTAGATGTATATGGGCCACAGCAACCACTTTTCATCAGGTGGACTGTGTGCTCATTTGTCACCCTATCCTATAAAAAAAGCTCTCAGGGGGGACAACACATCTGCATTTTGAATCTTATTCGAGAATAGATGTATATTTCCATGAGTGACAGCATTCATTTACCATCAGGTGCACTGTGTGCTAGTTTGTCATCCTTATACTTTAAAAATGCGTTGAAACAGCACTGTAGTCTTTCTTGCAGTAAAAACTCTCATAAAAATGGGAGGTGGCTTGTGCCCTGAAGTTTATCACACTCGTATATTATAGACTACTAGCAAAACCAGCAAGTGTTTTCCTGTCTGCGTATACCAATTTTGATATGCTTCAGCGCCATCTAGTGTTAAGTTACAACAAAATGGTTAGCATAAAAACCTCCATAAAAACAATATATCTGCCAAATTCCTTGGTTATCGGTTAAACGGTGACGAAGTCTATTATATAGACTATTTTAATTTTCCTTTTTTTCCACCAAATTGTTTATACATTTTTGTTTAATACTACGACACAACTGTATTTACTTTATCTTTTCCTTTTATCAAGTCAATTGTGACGAAACTAATTTCATAAACATGCTCATCCATCAGCCTTCAAAAATCCACAATATTACGCTAGCCTCATTATATGGTAGGGTTTCGTTATACTACAGAATAAATAATAGTTAAAAGTACAGAAGTATCACTCTCTGATAGCAAACTTGCGAGTTTAAACTTAGTTACAACGTCGCTAATGTTCATAATACTTTGCACGCCTCAGAAGTGACCTTCGTGAAATTAACCTACCGTTCATTTCGTCGAAAAAAATATGTGGCGCGCGTATTAAATCAAAATGCACCTTACGTCCACGTACGAGTTTCTGTATCACTTAGCCCGTTACGCGCCTTTGTTAAGACCGCCTCTACTATAGGGTTAGGTGTAGTGAGAAAACAAATTGAACCCTTTGACATTAGTTGGTATATAGTAGAATACACCGAGGTGTTATGAAATGTATTATTATTTCTTTTATATTGTTAAAAAAAAAAACGTTATCCCCACATTAGGATTTTCTCCTGTATCGTGGAGGCAGTTAACAAACATTTGCACTTTGTACAAGGATAAACATCTAGACCCGGAACAATTATTTGTATGCCATACAAATATTTCTTCTAAGGCTGTTCAGCACGCCGAAACTGCAATTCTGCTTGTTGACAAATCCGTTTAGTTGAAAGTGGGCTTCGTCCGAGAAAAGCATGTTCCCGAAGTTGGAAAATCGCTCTAACGTCAATGTGGAAAATAACGCCCTATATGTATGATCATAGTGGGAAATTTCTTGCACCAACTGGATCTTATAAGGATGAAGCTTCAAATCATATCTCAAAATTTACCTTAAACTGCTTCGCGAAATTCCCAGTCACTGAACATCGTCGTGTAGAGAGTTCCGCATTTTCTTTAACAGATCGATTAACCTCCCGAATCGCTGGCTCCGTGCGTGAAGTACGGGAGCAACCTTGACGTCTCATTGGTAGCGTCAAACCAATTTCTCATTTTTCCAACCTCTTCATCCATTTTTTAAGTAGCTGACGATGGAATAGACGGGTAAAAAATTACCTGTATAGGATGTATCCAAAATAAAAATGTATTTCAAGATTTTATTTCACAACTTTGTAGGCGTGATTAATATCTATTGCTATGCCAAATAACAGCTTTATAGCCCCTAAGGTCTCTGAGTAAAACCACATACTGATGAACGGACATGGCGAAACTATAAGGGTTCCTTGTTTTTTTACTACGGAATCCTAAAAACCTAAAAAAATAACTTTACAAATTCTAAACTGATCCTATTCATTATTCACAAAACTCACAAACAACCACCTAAAGTAATGAAAAACACAACAGCCATTACGGGCAAGCAAAATTAATTTAAAACTTTTAAGTGTGGTATTACCGTTTTAACGTTGTGCCCTCTAAGCTTTCCAAGGGCCTTGTTTAGAGGATAAGCTTTAAGTATATGAAAGTTGCTAAGTAATTTATATTGTTTTAGTTTCTTGCTAAAAGCAGAACTTATGCAGTGTTTGAGATTTTCTTTTTTTTTTAAATAAACTGCGATAACGAATATGCAAGCATCCACGCCGGCACCAATACTAAAATGTTAATAATTGCAAATTAGACCAAAATGGAAGTACCCTTTTTTTGTCCTGAGAATGGCAATTTTAAATGATGATTTTGCTTATTGAATAAAACTAATTTTACCGACCTATCGCGTTCAATTTCAACTTTTTCAATTTCCGACGTTTCGGGCGCTTTAGAACAATCATGGCCATGGTGGAGACTGAGATGTTTAATATTATAGTTAACGAAGGCTACCTTCAACTATTAGCGTCGCAACATCAGAGGAGGGAAACGAGTATGAGGCTCATCTGATGGTAAGCATCGACCGCCGCCCATTAACAACTGCATCAAAAGGGTGAAGGTGCATAGCCGGCTGGTTTTTTGAAGGTCCTTAAATCGTACGGTGCGAAAAAATCGTTAGTGGTAAACGACTGTACAAAGAAGTAAACTCAACGAAGGAAGGAAGTGGTGGACCGCCAAGCATCCAGATGATGTGAATGGTATCGTGAGTTTTGTCGCGATGGGCGATCTAGTACGATCCTGAACATGTTCACATATTATTGACTTCCCGGAGCGTCGGTTCTTCACATCAGCTATATATCTTTTCACGCAGGTTTTTATAGATCTTTTAGTGTGTCCTATGTAAGAGAGACAATATTCACAATCAAGCTTGTACACCGCTGCATCTTGGTAGAGGGATATTACATGTGACGAATGTTAAAAACTGACAACTTACGAGAGAGAAGAGACCACTTCAAGATGTAGCTAATATTGTCTGTGACAACACTGACATAATATGGTAGTACAGTAGGCACTCGCACGGCTGTGACTGGTTTTACTTGGTAACTGCGACGTAGGTACGGGATCCGAAGCTTGTTGTCGTGCAATACTTACTTGACGTACTGTAACAGATCTCTTTTGCTCTCTGAAA